CCCTAGGCTCGAACTTCTTGGTAGGGATGGTGATCGCCGGCTTTTCTTGCTTATTTCTTTTGGCAAAACTTTCTTTTTCGTCTTCTACCTCCATCCAGTTGTTCGCGCGGAAGAGTGCATCCTGAATTGTGTCCGGTTTGTGAAGTATTAAGTCTTCTTTAAACCTTGAATCATGTCGCAGTCCTTTTCGTAGGGCAGATAAAGCTGATTGCTGCGAGATTCTTGGGAGCTTTGACAGCACTCCTTTGAATTTGGTGATGAAAACTCGAAGTGACTCATTAGATCCTTGCGATAAGTTCCAAAGATCGGCATCTGAAACGCTTTTATCCATAAGGATGGAGTATTGCTTTAAGAATACGGCTGATAGTTCGTCGAAATTGCTGATCGAACCCGGCTCTAATTGGGTGAACCACATTAGAGCTTGGCCACATAGATTCTCCGAAAACAGCTTGCAATAGCCTGCATCCTCATCAGCTTCATCCAATTCGACTCTTCCAGCAGCGATCAGAAAAGCTGCGAGATAGCTTTTTGGATCCTCCAATCCGCTGTAAGGGTCCAATTTGAGTTTCCGGGAATCTTTGATCCTCAAACTCGCAATTCGCGAGATGAAAGGTGTTCGCCTAGCTTCTTCAATGACTCGATTGATGTCTGGCTCTGAACTTGTAGCTTGATGAAATTTTGATTTCATTTCTTTTAATTCCTGGCTAACCTTCCTCATGGTCTCGAACTGGTCGAGGTTCTCCTGCTCGTACTGAGCTGCAAGTTGTTCTTCATCCCCGAGCTGCGTCTCTTCTTCCAACGTCTGAGCTACATTATTAGTAGCACCGGGAGTTGTTTGTCCGCTGGTTTCATTACGTGCAGCGGAACTTGGCGAGTTGAATATCCCTCTTCGGATTCCCACCGGGTTTCCTGCACTTAAAGAGCGAACACGAGTTTGTATAGTATTGACGTTTTGACTAAGAGATACCTGGGATGTTTGCAACGTATCGACGGCCTTTTCCACGTCCGAGAACTTTTGTGATATGTCCGCCATGGTTTGCTGCATAGCTTTGAGGGTTTCGGCCAATGATGTCTCAGCAGCGTCTCCTCCGGACATTGTTGTTTATCTCGGAAGTGTGATAAAGAAAAAATCTGACCACTCAAGAACCTAATGTCCCCACAGACGGCGCCAAAATGTGGATGTCGGATTCACACACTCAAGTATTTTGTTAAGTGGGAAAGATTATTCTTGAGGGACAAAAATGAATATGTAAAAACTTATAAATTGATACGAAAATTGCTATAGTATTTCTCTCTTGAGAGGAAGATCCCCCTTACATGACCATTGGCCTCTATATTTATACATAGATAAACGATATTAAAATGAGTAATTAAGTACAATTATTCCTTCTTAAATGTGTCCGTTTTGATTCTTCGACTTTAATGCTCAACGTTTGAATTTGAGTTGACTCTGATCTTCATGGGCCTCGCCTCTTTTGGCCCAAGTGTCCTTGAACCGACTTACCCGTGTCTTCTACACCGAACTCGTGTCACAGTGCAGTCACTTCGGATTCTCGAAATGGTGACAACCACTTCGACCGTCCCTTCGGCTCACGGGTCCAATGGGCTTCATCTTTTATGGGCCATTATCTTGATTACGTGGCAATCTTTGGTTGGTCTCGTACTTCTGGTGCGGGATCCGACACCAACAGTCTCTACAAAATCTTTCCTTATCTATTTAAGTAAAGATTCTGAAATCAAATATGTTCTCAACAATTTACCAAAAATTTCTACACAATCTTTTTAAAAATTTCGACTTAGTTAACTTCTGATTTTTATCTGCAAAAAAAAAATTAATTGTAACGAGTGATGTAAAAATCGGGAATGTTGATACTATAATTTCTTCTACTTCTTGTTTTTTCATATAATAAAAATTATTTTTTAGGGATATTTTCTTAAAACCTCTAAACAAAACAAAGGGTTTCAAAAGATAGCTTCTCTTTTGGCGGGTCGATCCGCAAACCCGCAACTCTCTACGGGCTTATCCGCATGAACCTGCAACCCGTAGTGGATAAAAATATTATTCAAAAAAAATAACAAATGATGTTTAATTTTACGGGACGGGGTTATATGGTGCAACGGGTTTAGATCAATATTAATATTAAAAAATATATTATGGATGAAATCCTAGAATTAAAAATCAAAATTTAATTATAAAATCAGAAACACTAAACAAAATAAACAATATTAACAAAACAAATACAACTTAAAATTTTGCAAAATAGTTTTTTAGTTATAAAAAAATTGATCCGCGGTGTACCACGGGGTAAAATCTAGATTTAGAAGTTTAAGGAGAATTTTTTTTTTTTAAAATAGCTCTGCGGTGTACCGCAAGAAAAATCTTTCTCCTAAACTGAGGCAAGAAGAAGAATAAAGCCAAATGTCGTTTAAGTGTATATATAGATATACCATTTAAACCTAAAACACAATTAATATACTCAAAATTATTAATATAGATATATGGATGGTACATTTATAAAATAGGTCAAAATATTATATTATATACTCTCTATTAATAAACAAAACTAATTATATTTAGATTTTTTAAAAATAATTATAGCCCCGCGGTGTATCGCGGGTTCAAATCTAGTAGTTACTAAATTCCATGACCACAAACAAAAAAAGCCAACCATATATTGTCCATTGCATGAAGAGGGGGCAGAGAAAGACTTACGAAGTAGAAGAAGAAAATGAGTGATGCATGAGGAGTTGCTAAAGGTTGACGAGATTGACACTGTAAGTTCGTCCCTTAATTTTAAGAGTTGTCAAAGTCTCGAGTCATGATAATCGGGAGGAGTGGTGGTCTCCTATAAATTAAGGTAAGGTCCTTCTTATCTTCTTTTTTAAACTTGTCTTTGTCTTAAATGAAAAATGTAATCCACCACACACAGAGTTTTCGTACGATGACCCTAGTTATACTAACTCATTAGAAAGACTTTGAAGTCGTCTCCTACAAAACCAAAAAAAAAAAGTCCAAATTTGTATTTTTCTGGAACAAAGTGACAAGCGTGACTCTGTTTGTGATATGAATCACTCGTTCGTCTTCATGATCTCTCTCATTATCTTCGTTTTGATTTAGACAGAATTCTGGATTAATTGGGTTTTATTATATCTTCCTAGTTACGGTTTCACTGTTGTAGGTAAGCCAACTAACCAAGCCAGAGAGCAAGTTGCAATAGCAGAAACTTATAGACAAGCTCTAGTGAGCCATTGATTGTAGGAATACCTGAAATCTAAGTTCATAGCAAATACCTGAAATTTTTTGTTATTTTTTTTTTACCTGTTTATGTCACCAATGGATCAACCACTCATCTTATATTTCATAATACAAAATTTATGAGTTCAACTACGGAATCTTTTAACTTATGATAAATCTAAAATATAAATTTGTACATATAAAAATAAAATTTGTTAATAAAATCAGAAATGTCTATACCTAAAATTCAGTGCAAAATTAATTTAAGTTCCGGAAAAAAAAAATCTAAATTTGAAGTATTTATGATTGTCGATGTTTAAGACTCATAAGACAAAGATTGTTTTCGCAGGGGTCAATAATTATTTCATATTGGAGTCACATATAATGAATATTTTGAATTTGTGGAGTCCCCTATGACTCAGGCGATTTCAAAATAGCCTGAAATCTTTTCCCCCGCGATGTCTAAGTCCTAGTTATTTTTAACAAGAATAAAGTACTAGAATAGTTTTTTTTTTGTTCTTTATGTAGATTGGTTTGGTAGGGGTCAATAATTATTTCATAATGGAGTCACTAGCTATACTTGTTAATAAAGCACATATAATGAATATTTAGTATTTATGGAGTCCCCTATGAGTCACTCGTACCTCCGGCACTTATGTATGTTCCGTTCCGTTGACCGTGAGACACATCCGTTGGCCTTTGTGCCTCAATTCTATCTAGATCTGTTCCAGAACCATCCATCTCAAACCTAAAATCATCACAAAAATTGTTTGAAAACACAGATTTAAGTTACTGAAATATAACGTAATGTACTCTTGCTTTATTCAATACTCAATAGAGTAGAAGAGTATTTATACACATACAGATTGCCTAGTCTTGATAGAATCGTATCTAAGTAACTATATCCTAATATGAATCACTCGTTCGTCTTCATGATATATCTCTTTATCTTCGTTTTGATTTAGACAGAATTCTGGATTAATTGGGTTTTATTTTCTATCTTCCTAGTTACGGTTTCAATGTTGTAGGTAAGCCAACTAACCAAACCAGAGAGCAAGTTGAGATAGCAGAAACTTATAGACAAGCTCTAGTGAGCCATTGATTATAGGAAAACTAGGAATACCTGAAATCTAACTTTATCGCAAGTTTATTAGTTTATACTGTTGCTGTATTTACAGGCAAAAATAATCTACGATAGCTTGAAACTTTTTCTTTTCATCATGGACATCATACTTTAGTCAACGACTTTTAGCAAAACATTAATTATTTTATTATAACTAGGAAATCTACCCGTGCTTTACCGCACAGTAAAGTTAATAGTTAGCATTGGAAAAAGCACCAAACCAAAATCTTAGACCATCCCCAAACCTTTGGTGTCCAGACGAATTCTGTTGCAACAGATCTCCTTTCCCAAAGTGTTATGTTTGACCACCAAAGAATGATTGTTAAGCATTGCTTTGTACGTGTATAAGGTTGAATTAAATTTCGAGAGATAAGCAAACCCGTAAAATCTCTTCTAATTAGGCACTTTTCTGGATTTCTACAACTACATATAATTCTGATAGAACTGTTAAATTTGGGCTAATTTTGGGCTTCCAACTAAAAACCAATTGACAATTAGTGGATTGGCCCTAACCCTTTATATATTATTGATTGTCCCATCAAACTTCCGATGTGGGACTTGGATTGTATCTCCAACGAGAACTAGGTATGAATTCTATCAAGATGCCACTCCTTGAAGAAACCGACATATCTGGTAGCTCTGTTGCTTCAAGAGAACAAAAGTCACATTTGATCAATATATTGTCGATGCTTTATTCATACGAACCATTCCTTGCCATGCCTTTAAATAGGCTACAAACTCTTAGAAATGGCGAAAAAATACATACCCTATCACAAGCAAAAAAATCTCAGATATGTCTTTAGACATCATAAAAGTCTTGAGAAATTTACCAGCAAACTTGGGAGAAAGGTGCGACCGCTGTAGCATGACGTGAGGGCCAAGGATAAATATTGCCCAAAGGAAGAATAAACCAGATATAATGCTAATGATGACTAAAAGCCATTTCACATACCCAATTGCAGTGATCACGCCAAAAAGGAATGCCATGGGCATGCATAGTAAAGAAAAAAGTAGTAAGGGCAAGGCCACATGTAAAGATTCGCGGATGAGTAGTGGATCACCCAATTGCGCCCAAATAAGAGTACATATTGTTGCAACAGAACTTTGCATTGCCAAGATGTCAAATAGCAGAAAAATGAAGAGAGTCGGGTTTTTGGCCAAAGTTGCCCTGCCTAAGTTGGGTTTTTCGGCATCGCTGTTAAACCCACCTGGTATTGTAAAACCTGCAGCAAACGTCACTGTGGCTACAAGAGCCGCTACTAGTAGAAGAGTGCTTACGTAATCTCTGTTATTCTTATGGTCTATCGGTTCTGATGGTATTGTTAATGACTCTACAGATTCCAAACCACTTGAGTGAATAGCGTATAATAAGAGCGCCAGTGTCCACCTCTGTAATCCAAAAAATGGGTTAAGCTATATATCATTTATGAGGGATCAACTGTGTTGTATGAAACGGAATTAGACATACCTCATGAAAGATGTAGTTGGGTTTCACCTGTGACTCGGCAATCTCCCTAGCGCTTAAGTCGCTTTTGTTTCGTAAATTCAGTATCTCGCTACTGTTAGCAAGATGAGTAATGGAGTCAAAGTGCCAGTTCATGACGGCAAGGTGCAAAGGTGTATTCCCGTCCACATCTTGCCCAACACCCAAATGTTTCGTATCTTTATTATTCATCAACCAATCTGAAATCCAAAATTTACCATTTTGTGCTGCAATGTGGAGAACGTTCTGACCAAGTTTGTTAAGAAGGTATTTTGAATCTGGACAACGTTTTATAAACTCTTCAACAATTTTTTCATGACCGTTTTCTGCAGCTGTATGAATTGGAAAGGAACCATCTTGGTCGCAGACATAAACACCCTTTGTTGATCGGTCTAAGAGATTGCATACTTCTTCATAATACCCTTCATATGCTCCGACTGATAGACAAGTCTTACCATCTTTATCTCGCTCGTCAATAAGACTTGGATATTCAACAAGAATAAAATCAAAGACATCTGTTCAAACAATTGGGAACAACAATTAGTATACGTACTACATAGGAAGATTGTTATCCTCTTGGAGAGGAAGTTGCCATCTCAAACTGGTGTTACATAATTTGAACAGACTAAATGCCTACTAGTTAATGCGAAAAACAAACCTTTACTCTTGGCCATCAAAGCAGCATGTGCAAGATATTTTTTCCCTTGTAACTTTGAATCTAATTTAGACTTCTTCTCTTCAAGGTCCTCGTTGCCAGTAGTTTTCAAAATCAATTTCACAAGGGACACATATCCAAAATATACTGCCATTAACAAGGAAGATTCTCCCTTGTTATTTCCAAGAAAAGGAGCATCCTGGTTCGCGTTCACCAGACATGTAGCCATCTCGAAATAGTGCCCTTTAATGGCGTAGTGCAGAGCAGTATTTCCATTTGTGTCCTTGAGAACATATGGATTCAGTCTCTCACTCTCTTCAGTACACAATCTAGCTGAAGCAAATGTTACCGTCTTAACAAAAGCCTCAATAACAGGGGTATGACCGCCATGAGCCGCCACATGAAGCGGTGTCTTACCTCTCGAGTTTGGCTCCAAGAGAAGGCGCGGACATTCAGAGACAATCTCCTTCACTAGTTCTAGATGACCCCATGTAGCAGCAAGATGAAGAATTGAATCTCCTGTGTTGCTCTTGAGACGTGCCATTGGCATTCCTTGGCTTCTCAACTTCTCCAGACATTCTTTCTTCCCATCACTCATTCCACTAAAAATCTCCGGAGTCATCTGGACATCTTCACCAGGGAAAGCGAAAAAATCCGACAATCTAAGGTTAGTAAGATACTCTGGCACAGATTCGGTGTCTCCCGTAGGTGGAGTGGCGCCATCTCCTCCGTTTTGAAAGGAATCATTTGAACGGGGTATGTTCGTGGCGAGTAGCGGAGCTAAACAAAAAATCATAGTATGTTATTTATTAGATATATAGAAAGTTTTTGTACAATCATCTCTTACCCTAACTTTTACCACTTCTAACTATTTAGTATTTTTGCATTGCTTATCAATTTTTTTTTTTTTTTTTTTTTACCGTTTTATGTCACCAATGGAATCAACCACTCATCCGTTTCATGATACAAAGTTTATGAGTTCAACTATGGAATCTTATAACTTATAAATCTAAAATATAAATTTGTACATATCATAATAAAATAAATTAATAAAATCAGAAATATCTTTACCTAAGATTCAATGCAAAATTAATCTAAATTTTAAGTGTTTATGATTTGTTGTTGTTGATAATTCACAAGGGAAAAAGAATCTGGTGCGTTTGTTAGAAACAAATTCGGTAGATTTTTTACAAAATCATAGTATAAAACTTGGATAGGTACATTACTATTACAGTAGTTCTTAATCTATATATAATAGCAATATAATAAATACCATTTGCATATCTGAACGGTTGCGTCTTTTTATCGCAATCTTTCGTTTAAATCGGTTATTTTGGTTGCGTCTTTTCGTTGATATATTTACGGTTGTGTCTTTTATTGCATCTCTTCGTTAACATATTTACAGTTTTTTTTACAGTTATATTTGTGCAAATAACAGTCGTATCTTTTCAGTTTACGGTTGTGTCTTCATAGTTGCAAGAAAAAGTCGTCTCATTTCCTTACTTCTTCTTTCTAATTCATTCACTTCTCATCACCTCATTGCTAATATTGCTGGGATTCCCTCCTAACCAACTAATCTCCTTACCTCCTATTCCTGGGATTACTGGGATTACTGGTTCTCCCATTCCCTCAAACTTCTTCAACACGACTGGGGAAGAGCGCGTCGACACTCTCCTGTGAGGAAAGTAGGTCTACCCTCTCCCCGGCCCGGTATAATGGAAGGAAGGGAAGGAAGGATCGCCCTGGCAGGAAGTTCTCCCAGCTGAGTAATCAAACCTAGGGTGTTTTCTTGTTGTTTTGTTTTGCGTCGACATGTTTCGGGACGAAACCGGTAAAGTCCTTAAATCAAGGAAATCACAATGCTTCTCTTATTCAGTAGTTCAATCTTACTTTCTTACCCCGCCGGGGAAGCGTTGAATGAATGTGTAATGATTCATTTAAAGTTATGTCTCATATTATATAGATTTAAATTTTGGTTTTAAAACTAAAACATATATTATATGGTTGTTTTTTCAAAAAGTTGCAATCTGAATAAATATTTTCTACGGTTGCATCTTTTTATCGTAACACCTCATAAACAATTGCGATGTTTAGTTGAACCATTGCAACATGTACTTTATTTAACAAACAATTATAATTTTTGATTTATTTTATAAATCGTTAAAACATTTAATTTTTGAAAAACTAAAAATATATATTATAAGGTTGAATTTTTTTAGAAAGTTGCGATCCGAATAAATGTCTTCTACGGTTACTTTTTTTTTTTATCGTAACTTTTCGTAAACGGTTGCAACCGTTTAGTTGAACCATTACAACATTTAGTTTATTTCACGAACAAATGCAACTCTTGGTTTATTTTATAAACCATTATAACATTTAATTATCTAAAGTCACGTCTTTCGGTATAACTCTCTCTAAACTATTATTTCAGTTTTAGTTACTAAAATATAATTAAATGAAATTTTAAACGTTTAATTGAACCGTTGCAATATTTGGTTTATTTGACAAATTATTGCAAGTTTTGGTTCTATTTTATGAACCGTGGTAATCTTTAGTTTATTTGACGAACCATTGCAACATTTGGTATATTCTACGGTCACTTCTTTTGGTTATAGTTCTTCATCAAATTTTTAATTTTAATTACTATAAATGAATATGTTGCTACCGTTTAATAGAACATAGTAACATTTGGTTTATTTGACGAACCAATGAATATTTTGGATTATCTAATGAACCGTTGTAACATTTGGTTTATTTGATGAACTGTTACAGTATTTGATATATTTGATGAATCATTGCAACTTTAGTTTATTTGATGAATTATTACAACTTTATGTATATTTGATGAACCGTTGCAATATTGCCTTTTGTGATACATTTTTTAGGGCATTAACTAAGACTTTTTTTTTTTGAATAAAGCATTAACTAAAGTTATATCTGTTCATCTAGAGTATTATCTTATCACCATGTTTTATTCGTGTTTTTAGCACATACACTTAGTTCTAATAATTGTGTCTTTTACAAACAATTTATCTATTTAAACTTTCATCTCTATGAAGATTGTCTCTTTTTAACATAATACAATTAAAAATATTACGTCTTTTTATCGTAATATTTTGATGAATATATTTTTATAGCTAGTTATATTTATAATAGTTTAGAAAATTGAAAAATTGCTTCTACTCATTATAACTTTTTGTGTAATAATTTTTATTTATGGTCGTATTGTTTCACCATAATATTTTCTAATAATAATACAATTCTTAAAAAGTATTTGTGAGAGTTTACGTTTCTTTATCATATTTTTTTTTGTAAAATATATATATCTTTATTTATTGTTAAAAAATATTGTTTTGAAACTTGTTGTCTCAATTCATTATGACATTTCGTTTTTCTTCAAAATAGCCTGAAATCTTTTTCCCCGCGATGTCTAAGTCCTAGTTATTTTTAACAAGAATAAAGTACTAGAATAGTTTTTTTTTGTTCTTTATGTAGATTGGTTTGGTAGGGGTCAATAATTATTTCATAATGGAGTCACTAGCTATACTTGTTAATAAAGCACATATAATGAATATTTAGTATTTATGGAGTCCCCTATGAGTCACTCGTACCTCCGGCACTTATGTATGTTCCGTTCCGTTGACCGTGAGACACATCCGTTGGCCTTTGTGCCTCAATTCTATCTAGATCTGTTCCAGAACCATCCATCTCGAACCTAAAATCATCACAAAAATTGTTTGAAAACACAGATTTAAGTTACTGAAATATAACGTAATGTACTCTTGCTTTATTCAATACTCAATAGAGTAGAAGAGTATTTATACACATACAGATTGCCTAGTCTTGATAGAATCGTATCTAAGTAACTATATCCTAATAGTTACTAAATTCCATGACCACAAACAAAAAAAGCCAACCATTGTCCATTGCATGAAGAGGGGGCAGAGAAAGACTTACGAAGTAGAAGAAGAAAATGAGTGATGCATGAGGAGTTGCTAAAGGTTGACGAGATTGACACTGTAAGTTCGTCCCTTAATTTTAAGAGTTGTCAAAGTCTCGAGTCATGATAATCGGGAGGAGTGGTGGTCTCCTATAAATTAAGGTAAGGTCCTTCTTATCTTCTTTTTTAAACTTGTCTTTGTCTTAAATGAAAAATGTAATCCACCACACACAGAGTTTTCGTACGATGACCCTAGTTATACTAACTCATTAGTGTTGGTTAAGCTTGAGAAGTAAACCGACAATTACTTGAACCGCAAGGCAACGGTTTAATGAAGTGATAAGGCTAGATCTTTTAGGAGTTATCTATAAGATTTAATGTAATCCTAGTCGAGTTATGATTAGGGTTTTGAGGTTTACTATATAAGCATATATCGGGTTGTGATATAGCTTAAGAGAATTGAGAGAGATTAAGAAGTACTTTAGTTTGAGTTAGTTCTAAAGTTAATAAAGAAGGTGTTTTCTTAAACGTGTTCTTAACTTCTTATTCATATTATTCAATTCTAGATTTGGTATCAGAGCTATCTAGCTTTGTTTCTAAACGTGTGAGATATGAGTGAATTGGCCACGACGAGTGACCAACCAAAGGAGGGAGGATCTTCATCTATAAAATGTCCGATGTTAACAACTTCCAACTATACAGTTTGGGTCATGAGGATGAAGGCAGCCCTCCGAGTCCATAAGGTGTGGGAAACAATCGATCCCGGTTCCAACGACGTAGAGAAGAATGATATGGCCCGTGCTCTATTGTTCCAATCTATACCAGAGTCGATGATCCTACAAGTTGGAGAACATGAAACTGCAAAAGGTGTCTGGGATGGCATAAAAGCCAGAAACCTTGGTGCTGAACGAGTGAGAGAAGCAAGATTACAGACTCTTATGAATGAGTTTGATAGGCTGAAGATGAAAGAAAGTGACACAATTGATGACTTTGCAGGGAGAATCTCTGAGATTTCTACAAAAGCAGCATCCTTAGGGGAAAATATTGAAGAAACAAAGGTTGTTAAGAAGTTTCTCAAGAGCTTACCTAGGAAGAAATACATCCATATAATCGCAGCTCTAGAGCAAGTTCTTGATCTCAAGAAAACAACCTTCGAAGATATTGTAGGAAGACTCAAAACATACGAAGATAGAGTTTGCGATGAAGAAGACTCGCAGGAAGATCAAAGCAAACTCATGTATGTCAGCTCAGAGTCACAAGATGGAGGCAGAGGAAGAGGCCGCGGTCGTTTTGGAAGAGGCCGAGGCAGATTTGGTTACCAATCCAGAGAATATGGATATCAACAGAAAGAGTTTGTTCAAAGAGACAAGCCCAAAGTGACTTGTTACCGATGTGACAAAACAGGGCATTATGCTTCTAATTGTCCGGATAGGCTTTTAAAATTGATCAAGCTTCAAGAGACACAAGAGAAAGAGGAAGATAATACTGAAGACGCAGAATCTCTTATGATGCACGAAGTAGTATACTTGAATGAGAACAATGTGATGCCTAAAAAACTTTGAAGTATGTTCTGAAAAAACTTGGTATCTTGACAATGGGGCGAGCAATCACATGACAGGACAGCGTGCTTGGTTTTACAAGATGAATGAGATGGTCACAGGTAGAGTAAGATTCGGAGACGATTCGTGTATTGACATAAAAGGAAAGGGCTCGATACTCTTCTTGACTAAAACTGGTGAAAGAAAAATCCTAGAAGATGTGTATTACATACCCGATCTCAAAAGTAATATCATAAGTTTAGGACAAGCCACTGAGTCAGGGTGTGACATTCGAATGAAAGAAGAGTATCTAACCCTACATGACCGAGATGGAAATTTGCTAGTAAGAGCAACAAGATCAAGAAATCGATTGTACAAGGTAATTTTAGAAGTTGAAGAAACTAACTGCTTACAGCTTGTAACATCAAGCGACTCAACTATATGGCATGCTCGTCTTGGACACATCAATCTTGAGACACTTAAAACAATGGTTGCAAAAGAGATGGTTAAAGGAATACCAACTGCTCCAAAAGAAAAAGAAACATGCCCATCTTGCTTACTTGGAAAACAAACAAGGAGGACGTTTCCAAAAGCAACTGTGTATCGGGCATCACACATTCTTGAGTTGGTGCATGGTGATCTCTGCGGTCCTATATCACCCTCTACGGCTGCTAGAAAGAGGTACATATTCGTGTTGATAGATGATCATTCTCGCTACATGTGGTCAATTTTGTTACAAGAGAAAGGAGAAGCATTTGAGAAGTTTAAGAATTTCAAGAAAAGAGTTGAGCAAGAGAGTGGTGAAAAAATCAAAACATTGAGAACAGACAGAGGAGGTGAATTTTTATCTCATGAATTTCAAGATTTTTGTGAAAAAGAAGGAATCAACAGGCATTTAACCGCACCATATAGCCCTCAACAAAATGGAGTGGTTGAAAGAAGAAATAGGACTTTGCTAGAGATGACTAGAAGCATTCTGAAACATATGAGTTTGCCTAATTATTTATGGGGAGAAGCTGTCAGGCACTCAACATATCTAATAAACCGAGTAGGAACTAGAGCCTTAGTTTACCAAACTCCATATGAAGCATTCAAGAACAAGAAGCCAAACTTAGAACATGTGAGAGTATTCGGATGTGTTAGCTATGCCAAAGTTGATGGACCACATTTACGAAAACTTGATGATAGATCGAGAGTTCTCGTACATCTCGGGACAGAACCTGGCTCAAAGGCATACAGACTACTTGATCCAACCACTCGGAAAATCACAGTAAGCAGAGACGTCATCTTCGATGAAAGCAAAAGTTGGAAGTGGAAAGACTCCGAGAAAACTAGTCAAGAAACAGGAACTTTTATATTCAGTTTTGGAGAGTTTGGTAATCATGGAATTGATGATAATGGAGCTAATCAAGAAACAGAGGAAAACAGAGATGTTGAGAATGGATCTGACAGAGAGGAAGCAGTAGGAGCTGACGAATCTGAGACTAACAATGCTGAAACTGAGCAGCCACAACCTCCACCGTTGCTAAGAAGGTCTGGGAGACAAGTTGCAAGGCCAACCTATCTAAGTGACTATGTATTACTCGCAGAAATAGAAGGAGAACAGCTTCTACTTATGTTGAATGAAGAACCATATGATTTCATAGAAGCAAACAAATCGCAAGAGTGGAGAAATGCGTGTGAAGAGGAGATCATGTCTATAACAAAGAACAAAACTTGGAGTCTTGTTGATCTCCCTGTTGGAAGTAAACCCATTGGTCTTAAGTGGGTTTTTAAACTAAAACGTAACTCAGATGGGAGCATAAATAAACACAAGGCAAGATTAGTAGCAAAAGGATACGTGCAAAAACATGGAGTTGATTTCGATGAAGTCTTCGCCCCTGTAGCTCGAATTGAATCAATCCGTCTTATCATTGCCTTAGCAGCCTCGAACGGGTGGGAAATACACCATTTAGACGTGAAAACCGCCTTCCTTCACGGAGAACTGAAAGAAGATGTTTATGTTACTCAACCAGAGGGTTTTGTAACCAAAGGAAGAGAGGAAAAGGTCTATAAACTACACAAGGCTCTTTATGGCTTGAGACAAGCACCAAGGGCATGGAACACCAAACTCAACAAGATCTTGAGAGATTTGAACTTTGAAAAATGTTCTAAAGAACCCTCCCTTTACAGAAAACAAGAGAAGGATACTCTCCTCATTGTAGCGGTATATGTTGATGACTTGTTAGTCACCGGCTCCAGCTTAGATTTGATAAATGCTTTCAAGAAAGAGATGTCGGGAAAGTTTGAAATGAGTGACTTGGGTAAGCTTACCTACTATCTTGGTATTGAAGTTTTTCAAGGAGAAGGTGGAATAGTGTTGAAACAAGAAAGATATGCAAGGAAGATTTTGGAAGAGGCTGGAATGAGTGAATGTAATGCGACTCAAACACCAATGACAGCGGGTTTAGAACTTTCTAAGGCACAAGAAGAAAAACAGGTCAATGAACTAGATTACAGAAGAAATATTGGGTGTCTTAGGTACCTACTACATACACGACCTGATCTCTCTTTTAGTGTTGGAATATTAAGCAGATACTTACAAGAGCCAAGAGAGTCACACGGGACTGCGTTGAGACAAATTCTGAAGTATATCCGAGGCACTCTTGAACATGGTCTCTGTTTTAAACAAGGAACAGAGTTGGGACTAATTGGTTACAGCGACAGTAGTCATAGTGTTGACGTCGACGATGGGAAAAGTACCGCAGGACATGTGTTTTACCTTAATGAATGTCCGATCACGTGGTGCTCTCAAAAACAACAAGTTGTGGCACTATCTTCTTGTGAAGCTGAGTTCATGGCGGCAACGGAGGCAGCTAAGCAAGCGATTTGGCTTCAAGAATTGCTAGCCGAGATCATTGGTACAATGAGTGAAAAGGTAACCATACGAGTAGACAACAAGTCAGCGATTGCATTGACTAAGAATCCGGTGTTTCATGGAAGAAGCAAACACATTCACCGGAAGTACCATTTTATACGAGAATGTGTTGAAAATGAGCAAATTGAAGTTGAGCACGTGCCGGGTGAAAAACAGAAGGCGGACATATTGACAAAGGCTTTGGGAAGAAACAAGTTTAAAGAGATGAGAGATCTCATTGGTGTTCAAGACGTGAAGAAGCTTGAGCTCAAGCTTAAGGGGGAGATTGTTGGTTAAGCTTGAGAAGTAAACCGACAATTACTTGAACCGCAAGGCAACGGTTTAATGAAGTGATAAGGCTAGATCTTTTAGGAGTTATCTATAAGATTTAATGTAATCCTAGTCGAGTTATGATTAGGGTTTTGAGGTTTACTATATAAGCATATATCGGGTTGTGATATAGCTTAAGAGAATTGAGAGAGATTAAGAAGTACTTTAGTTTGAGTTAGTTCTAAAGTTAATAAAGAAGGTGTTTTCTTAAACGTGTTCTTAACTTCTTATTCATATTATTCAATTCTAGAATTAGAAAGACTTTGAAGTCGTCTCCTACAAAACCAAAAAAAAAAGTCCAAATTTGTATTTTTCTGGAACAAAGTGACAAGCGTGACTCTGTTTGTGATATGAATCACTCGTTCGTCTTCATGATCTCTCTCATTATCTTCGTTTTGATTTAGACAGAATTCTGGATTAATTGGGTTTTATTATATCTTCCTAGTTACGGTTTCACTGTTGTAGGTAAGCCAACTAACCAAGCCAGAGAGCAAGTTGCAATAGCAGAAACTTATAGACAAGCTCTAGTGAGCCATTGATTGTAGGAATACCTGAAATCTAAGTTCATAGCAAGTTTATTGTATTAGTTTATACTGTTGCTGTATTTACATTCTACCGGGAAAAATAATCAACGATAGTTTGAAACTTTTTCTTTTCATGGACATCATACATTAGTCAACGACATTTGACAAAACATTAATCCCTTAGCATTTTTAAAAAATAACCTTACCCTCACATGTGATTAACGAAAATGCCATGATGACGTGTCGAGTTTATAGAGCTCCTTAACCCATTTAATTAATTGTCCATCCTTTACTATACTATTTACATCAATTTGCCATTGATATTAATAACACTTATTTTACTCATTAATTAATCCAAAAAAAATTACATCATCCATTATATTGGTTACCACGATTCCACTTAATTCAAATTCTTCCACTGATTATAGTATTTGGTAACTATAAGTTAATAACAGAATTTATAATTACCTCAAAACTCTCATTATGGACTCTATCATTTTACCATATTCGTATAATTTTACTATGTACTACTACATGTACCATAACAAAAGAATATTAAGATATATTAATTAACTTATCCAAAAAAATCCTTACGAAAATATAAATATAAAGAAACTATGATACTTTATATGAAATATCGATTTAAAACTTTTAAGAAGTAGAAAATGTAGGAATGATATTGTGGAATATATATGGAACCCATAATACTTTCAATCTCTAAGGTTTTATTTAGTTGATCAAATATTAATGAATTTTTTTACCAAGAGTCTACATGTAATCATATAGTGAAGCATTTTAGTTTTGATGTTTGATGACTGCGGTCACACGTAACACAAAATATATGAATTTAATTATTAAATACACAAAAAGATATATGTGCCATAAATGATAATATTTCATCAATATTTTCTCCACAAGGAAGTATTTACCACGCTCAAATATTTTACGGGTGAGTAAAAAATTTTATACAAATTATTTGCAAATTTAAATAAAACAATAAACTTTTGTTATATATTTTGTTTTATACAAACGGAATTTGGATCCCATATAATAATTTTACTTAAATTGTTTCATTCCGCACATAGTGCGGGTTGTTTTCTAGTTATTTTATTAATTTGTTGCATATCACTACATTTTACCTTTTAACATAAGATAAAAGTTACTTTATTTTACTACTTTGGTTTGTATAAGATAGTATGCTATATTTACATATTACTTAAGTTCCACATGTATACAAATTATATATATATATATATATATATATATAGATAAAAGTTTACATAATTATTATACATATGTATCAATACGATATAATATGTACAAATACTATATAATATATATTTTCACAAAAGTAATATAATATATCATTATAACTTTATATATGAAATTTACTATTTATCATATATTTGATATGCCATTTTATTTAACATATATAAATTTTTAAAATTCACACACTTAAAATCTAAATCCACAATATTAAACTAGTATACCATTAGGTCCATTACCAATCATACATACATCTAAATCCACAATATTAAACTAGTATACCATTACGAATCATACATACATCTAAATCCAACATACATACACTCTAAATTTTACAACAATCAATCTACATCTATAGTTTAAAACTTTAAATGGAAACTCTCCTGATTCAGAGTGCATATGCCGTCTTACGAAAAGCTTGGAAAGAGCATATAAAGGCAAGGAGCATTTATGGAAGCAATGCAACCATATTCAATGGGATCGTAATACCACCATATTTTCCGATGTTCTTAGAAGATGTAGAAGAACTTCTGTTTCTTTCCATGCAATGCCAACTGGTAGGTTGATTATTTCTTTAGCAAAGCAGGCACTTTTGGCTATATACAATTGGTCAATTGCTAGCTGAAAAATAAAATCTCTGACCCAAATAAAAATTAAAATTAAAAAACCCGGAAGATTGGAACCTGGTTTAGTGGCTCAAGAACACATGAAGTTCATTTTTTTTTTTTTTTTTGAATAACCGCGGGTCTCCCAAAGGCTTCTTAGGCCCAAGGACTAATCACACGAGGCTGGCAATTCCCCTATGTAAACCTGCCAGTGGCCGTGCCTTGAACCCCGGTGGCGGAAGTCACAGCTGTGACCCCTTTACCACTAGGCCACAAAGCCCGGTTCACATGAAGTTCATTTACCTACATAACCCGCTCAAAAATCAAAATATTACCCATAATAACCAATGTGCTATTAGTCTCAGGATCCGTAGATGTAAATATGTAATAAAGTGATCTTAATAGGAAAGTGTCATGGCGAGTTGGGGATGTTGGACTTTGAAATAAGCCGTCGTGGATCCAGAAACCAAAGTGTTATGTTAAGATAAGTGTGTAAGATTGAATCAACAAACAAAAAAAAATGTACGAGTTGTACAGACCATATAGTGATCAGTCCACATCTTATTTAATTATGAATTAAGAGCTGGTGGTACTGGTGGCTCAAGCAAACTTCTAAAGGACCGAAAGAAACAGTACAGTCCATATCTCATCTAACTTCGGGCTATTATTCGAGAGATAAGCAAAGCGGTATCCACTAAACCTTATATAAATAACTGCGTCATTTTAGAAGACAGTTTCTTCTAATTCTACAACTACAGATAGTTCTGATAGAATTAACTTCGTATGAATTCTATAAAGATGTCGCTTCTTATAGAGAATGGAAGATCTCCTAGCTTTGTTGCTTCAAGAGAACAAAAATATTCTTGATGCTTTATTCATAATTTCATACAAAATATGCCTTAACTCTTAGTAACAACCACAAAATATTATCCTTATCAACTTCGCAATAAGCTCAAAGATGGTTTTATACTGCATAAAAGTTACGAGAAAGAAACCAGCATTATTGGGAGAAACGTATGGCCGCTGTAGAATGACGTGAGGACCAAGGACAAAGATCGCCCAAAAGAAGAATAAAAGAGATATAATACAAATGATGGCTAAAAGCCATTTCACATGCCCAACTGCAGTGATCAAGCCAAAAAGGAATGCCAAGGGCATGCATAGTAGAGCAAAAAGCAGTAAGGGCAAGGCCACATGTAGGGATGAGCGAATGAGTGATGGGTCTCCCAACTGCGCCCAAATAAGAGTACCTATTGTTGCAACGGAACTTTGCATTGCCAAGATGTCAAGTAGCAGAAAAATGAAGAGAGTTGGGTTAGTGGCCAAAGTTGCCCTGCCCAAGTGTGGAGCAGAGCTGTTAAACCCACCTGGTATTGTAAAACCTGCAGCAAACGTCATCGTGGCTACAAGAGCCGCTACCAGTAGAAGAGTGTTGACGTAATCTCTGTTATTCTTAGGATCTAGTGGCTCTGCCGGTCTTGTTAATGAGTGTACATATTCGAAACCATTTGAGTGAATAGCGTATAATAAGAGCGCCAGTGTCCACCTCTATATATAATCCAGAAAATAGGGGTTAAGCTATAAAATCATTTATGTGAGATCAAATGTGTTGTATGAAACAAAATCAGATATACCTCATGAAAAATGTAGTTAGGTTTCACCTCTAACTCGGCAATATCCCTAGCTCTTAAGCCGCTTTTATTTCGTACTTTCAGTATCTTGCTACTGCTAGCAAGACAATCAATGGACTCAAAGTGCCAGTTCATGACGGCAAGGTGCAAAGGTGTATTCCCGTCCACATCTTGCCCAACACCCAGATGTTCTGTCTTTTTATTACTCATCAACAAATATGAAGTAGACCATCTCCCATTTTTTGCTGCGACGTGGAGAACGTTCTGACCAAGTTTGTTAAGCAGGTATTTTGAATCTGGATAACGTTTTATAAACTCAAACACAATTTCTTTATGACCTTCCTCTGCAGCCGTATGAATTGGAAATGAACCATCTTGGTCGCAGACATAAACACTCTTTGTTGATCGGTCTAAGAGGTTGCATACTCCTTCATAATACCCTATGGATGCTGCATATGAAAGACAAGTCCTTCCTTTTTTATCTCGCTCATTCACAAGAGTTGGGCACTCATTAAGAATTACATCAAGTACACCTGCTCAAACAATTGGTTACAAAAATAAGTATACACTAGATTTGAACCCGCGGTACACCGCGGGGCTATAATTTTTTTAAAAAAAATCTAAATATAATTAGTTTTGTTTATTAATAGAGAGTATAATATAATATTTTGACTAATTTATAAATGTACCATCCATATATCTATATTAATAGTTTTGAGTATATTAATTGTGTTTTAGGTTTAAATGGTATATCTATATATACACTTAAACGACATTTGACTTTCTTTTTCTTCTTGCCTCAGTTTAGGAGGAAGATTTTTCTTGCGGTATACCGCGGAGCTATTATTTTAAAAAAAATATTTTTCTTCTTTAAACTTCCAAATTTAGATTTTACCCCGCCATTTTTTTATAACTAAAAAATTATTTTGCAAAATTTTAAGTTGTATTTGTTTTGTTAATATTGTTTATTTTCTTTAGTGTTTCTGATTTTATAATTAAATTTTGATTTCTAATTCTAGGATTTCATCCATAGTATATTGTTTAATATTAATATTGATCTAAACCCGTTGCACCATATAACCCCGTCCCGTAAAATTAAACATCATTTGTTATTTTTTTTGAATAATATTTTTATCCACTACGGGTCGCAGGTTCATGGGATAAGCCCGTAGAGAGTTGCGGGTTTGCGGGTCGACCCGCCAAAAGAGAAGCTATCTTTTGAAACCCTTTGTTTTGTTTAGAGGTTTTAAGAAAATATCCCTAAAAAATAATTTTCATTATATGAAAAAAAAGTAGAAGAAATTGTAGTATCAACATTCCCGATTTTTACATCACTAGTTACAATTATTTTTTTTTTTTGCAGATAAAAATCAGAAGTTAACTAAGTCGAGATTTTTAAAAAGATTGTGTAAAGATTTTTGGTAAATTGTTGAGAACATATTTGATTTCAAAATCTTTACTTAAATAGAGAAGGAAAGATTTTGTAGAGACTTTTGCTAAATATATGAGAAATGAATTTCAATTAAAAATCTTTACTTAAATAAAATAAATCTAAAGAATTAATGCTAATGGCAAGTCATTGTAAATACTTCTCAACTTCAGGATTTATTTGCTAATTGTGATCCAAAAATGTATATATAGATAGATATGAAGTTTTTTACCGTTTTTGGGAGGAAGTTGCCGTCTTAAACTGGTTTTACATAATTTTAACAAATTAAATGCAACTGTTACTGGTTAAAGCAAAAAACAAACCTATACTCTTGGCCTGCAAAGCAACATGTACAAGAAATTTGTACCCTTGTATCTTCGACTCTAAGTTAGACTTCTTCCCTTCAAGGTCCTCATCGTCATCGTCTTTAGTTTTCAAAATTGCTTCCACAAGGGTTACCATTCTAGCTTCTACTGCCATATACAAGGAAGATATTCCCTTGTTATTTCCAAGAAAAGGAGCATCCTGGTTCGCGTTCACCAGACATCTAGCGATCTCCAAATAGAGTCCTTTAATGGCCAAGTGCAGAGCAGTATTTCCATCCTCGTCCTTGAGAACATATGGATTCACTCTCTCACTCTCTTCATTACACAATCTAGATGAGGCAAATGTTACCAATGCAACAAAAGCCTCAACAATAGCGGTATGACCGCCATGAGCCGCCACATGAAGCGGTGTCTGACCGCTCGAGTTTGGCTCCAATAGAAGGCACGGACATTCACAGGCAATCTCCTTCACTAGTTCTAGATGACCCCATGTAACAGCAAGATGAAGAATTGAATCTCCTGTATTGCTCTTGAGACGTGCCATTAAATTTCTGTGGCTTTTCAACTTCTCCAGACATTGTTTGTTCCCATCACTTATTTTACTAAAAATCCATGGAGGCATCGGGAAATCTTTACCACGAATAGCGAAAAGATCCGACAATCTGAGGTTAGTTAGGAACTCTGGCATAGATTCGGTGTCTCCCGTAGGTGACGTGGCGCCATCTCCTCCGCTTTGAGAGAAATCTTGTGAACCATGTATGTTCATGGGTAAGTATGTTCCTTTCCGTTGATCATGAGACGCATCCGTTGACCTTTGTGCCTCAATTCTATCTAGCTCTGCTTCAGAACTGTCCATCGCAAACCTAAAATCATCACACAAATTGTTTGAAAACACATATTTAATTTCCTAACTTCCCCGATCACAAACAAAAAAGTCAACCATTGCATGAAGAGGGGGCAGAGAAAGGCTTACCAAGTGGAAGACGAAGTTGAGTAATGCAAGAAGATTTGCTAAAGCTTGACGAGATTGAAACAGTAAGTTCGTAGGAGTATTGGTAGTCACCTATAAATTAAGGGAAAGTCTTTCTTTAGTCAGAAATAATTACTCTACAAGACAGATATTAAAAAATGACCTGAATAATTACTAAGTCATTAAGTTATAATTAAAGACTTTGAAGTCGTCTCTTAATAAAGTCTAAATTAGTACTCATTCTGTTTCAAAATATATAATATTTTAGGGATTTTTTTGTTTCAAAAAATAAGATGTTTACAATTTTTTATGCAACTTTTAAATCTTATACTATTATTTGGGAATTACATCAATAAGTTGTAACATTGAGAAGTGTAAGAAATTACATTATATGCCATTACAAATCTCTAATCATAAAAATAATTAATCCTCGTCATTAATATTAATCAATTCTTAATCAAGTGGGTCAATGGGTCATCATCAGACAGATTTTCAGAGCTAAACAATATAATCAAAGATTTTTTTCAATATAATCAAAGATTCCCTAAAAAATTTAAACAAATAATATTTTATTTTACCAAATTATTGTTATCTTAACAAAAAAAGTATATTAACAAAACAAAAACCACTGATCAATTAAGTCAAATTTTTTTATGGGCAAACATTCAAATTTATTTAATGTATTTAATATTTATAAAAATTATTTAGTTAATAAATATAAATAAAATAATCACACTTTAACAAAATATGAAGTCTAACAATAATAATAAAGTGATTAATTTTTTTAAACAACTAAAACCGTTTGAGAAGAACTGAAGAACTGAAGAACTGAAAAAAGTTTTTAAAATAATTGAATAGTGAATACACTAAAAGTCTAAAACCTTATATTTTATTCTAAAATACCAAAATCAAAAAATTTTGTTAAGCCAAAGTCCGGCTGATTCAACCGGTTCACTGGGTTATGAGTTAGTGGCTGGTTTTTGAAGGTTTTCCGGTTTCAAAATTTTTGGATATTAGAACTAAACACATACCAGAGAAGTGTCCGGGTTGCGGATTAATCGGTCGGACCGGTTGGTCGGGCATGATAACTCTGTTTAAAACACTATATTTTATACCAAAATCAAGTAATTTTTTAAATCTATATCTGGCCAGTTCAACCGGTTCACCTAGTCGCAGGTTTTTTGGTTTATCCGGTTTTGAAATTTCTGGATATTCACAGTAAATCCAAACTAGAAAAGTGTCTGAGTCACAGATCAACCGGTCAGACCGGACGGTTCGGATTGGACGTAAAAACAATGAAAACATGACATATATTTTTTTATAGTATAACATGCTTACTTCTCAAAACAAAATTTACAAAGTTATATTATAAAACAAATTCTATCTGTGCTATAGCACGGGTTATGGTCTAATACATTTTATATTTTATGACTATTTGTATTCTGCAGTCTTTTATATTATTGGTTGAATTTGATTAAACTAAATATTAAGGGTATAAAAGATAACCGCTGAATTCGAATGAATCTGGCTAAATTGATGAATTTGGCTAAATTTTATGGTGATTTTTAGCTGAATCTCGCTGAATAACTGAATATGTAAATGGTAACAACTGAATCTAGCTGATTTTTAAAATAACTTATTAAATATATTTTTGAAAATACTAATTAAATTCTTTTTTTTTGTCAACAAGATTAATTAAACCAACTAATAAAAATATTAAATCCTAAATTTGATATATTGAAATTTTTTTATCAAACATAAGATAAAAACATGATTTAACGATAACGTTTGCAACTTATAAAAATAAGGATAGATTTTTGAAAATTTTTATTAACGTTTGCAATTTCTGCAATTTGTTTTGTCTACAAAACTAATCAAAGTTTTTTTTTAATCATAATTACAACACAAACTATCAAAAAACTTACGAAGAATGTAAATATTTCTTAAACAACATAAAATATGAAAAGCTTAAGAATCTTACAACTTCAAAATACATTATTCTTAAATATATATGGAAAATCTAAAATATAACAGTCACATGATTCATTAACATTTTGTTTTGGTAAAAACATAAGCAGTGACTCGTAAGAATACAGAAGAAAAGAGAAGAAAAAAGCTAGAGGAAAATAGAAGAAAAGAAAAAGCAAAATGTAGAAAAATTATTTCTACCATATATTTGCAGTGGGAGGTTTTAACTCTTTTATGTTGTTTTTGGGATGAATTGGGAAGAAAAGTAATTCTTCCAATTTTTACTTGATTGTTAACTTTTAGAAGAAAATAGAAGAATTAGAATTCTTCTCTTTATTTTTCTTCTATAATATACTAACACTCAGACGCATAGATTACTTGCCTTCTCAAAGAGATAAAGACAATCTCGTTCAAAACCCAAATCAAAAAGAAAAGCTGACGGTGGTGGGACCACTTTCCCTAATCCTTCTCTTGAAACAGTTTTCCTCAACAATTCCTCCAACATTCAACTAATATAACCATTTTCTTTTTCTCAAAAATTTCTCAATAATTCCTCAAAAATATATTGGGTCTGACTGGTATAAAAGTTAGAATAATTTAGTAGAAGGAGAAGAAAAGTTAAGAAGAAAAGAAAAGTTAATTTAGAAGAAATGTTTCTTCTCACATATTAAAGAGAAGAGAATTTCTCTGTTTTCTTTTACTTTTTGTAGTTTTCAGCAGAATTTTTTTTTATTCTCATTTCTTCTTTACTGGTAAAAATTCAGTAGAATCTAGAAGAAAAAATTTTCTTCACCTTTCTTTCTTCTATTAATACCAACAAGTCAGACCCATAATCATTTAGAGCCTAAATGGTAGTTGTTAAAAACAAAAACAAATTTCTTAAAGTGTATGCTTTTAGCTAAATCATCATATATTTTGAAATAGAGGAAATAATATTTTGTTGGAAAAAGTGACAACCCTGATCTTGTATCCCAACTACCCAAACAACAACATAATTTGACAGAGCAAGTTGAGGCGGGTTTTAAGCGGAGATTCTTCTAACATAACACCCAGAAGATGTGACATTACATAGCGAAAACATATAAACAAGCTAATGATTTTAGAAATACTAGAAATCTAAGTTCATCGCACGTTTATTATAGTTTACTGTGTGATTGGTTGGACCTTTATCCACATTCTACTGCCATTAATTCAAAAACTTTAAGTTGAACCAATCAAGAGTTACGCTTGAAACCTTTTTTTCATGGACATCAAACTTCATTCAATCACTTTTAACAAAACATTGATTATTTTACCTTTTTTAGTTGCACATCGCTATATTTTACTTAGCTTTGAACAAAATATAAAAAATTTGGCGGAAAAAAAAAACAAAACAAAAAATAAAAACTTCTATTAACTTTAGCTTACTACTTTGATTTTGTACAGACTAGATTAAATTTTTTTGAAGTAAAATTAAATTTAACAAAAAATAATTAAAATTTTATTATAACTAGAAACTATATTTAGGAATTAAATATAGATTTTTTAGTTAAAGAAAAGAGTCTTTTATATATTTATTTTTCTTTCATACACTAATTTGCATTTCTATATTTTAAATTTAATGTACCAATTATTATCGATTGTTAATCTAGTAAAATTAAATTATCAATCACTAAACATTATACTAAAATGTTCATCATTATTGTTATTACTAAATATAAAAAAGATGGTTTCAAAATTTCGCCTAAAATATGATTGCACAATTTTTTGTATATGCTGTATGTGTTTCAAACCACAATCTACATGATTCGGCGAGAGAGAAACCGTACACCACGGTGAACATCCAACATCAGCAACGCGTTTAATCAAGCAAATTGACGCCAAAGTCCGCAATCGTCTCTCAATGATATCAAACTAGAGATATGGCAAACTCGTAGACGCTTTACAAGATTGGTTTGCAAAGAGACGCTTCTAGGGGTCCAAATTCTTTAGAATCTACCTATACTCTCTTGCACATTCTGTCTTTGGTTGATTCTTTCTTTAGCACATCAGACACTTGTAGCCGTTAGGCCTTGGCACAAGACAAGTATTTGCAAATTTTCAAGTATTTGTGACTCGCCTTGGCCCGTTCAAGTAATTAAATTTTGGACTTGATACTTGCCTTGTCCGAAGCAATTACTTGTTCTAGCAAGTACTCGTCTAAAATCTGATTACTTGCAAGTAACTTGTTTTGCGCCTTGTTACTTGCAAAATAATTTGATCCGGCTTGTTACTTGTAAGAGACTTGATACTTGAACTAAAATACTTGAACATAAAAACAATCTCATACAATAAAAATCTCAAAACATTCAAAGTTCTAATTTTTTTTTTATCTTTTTAATTTTGGTTTTGTAAGTTATAAATTATAAATATATAAATTCAAATAAGTTATTAAAGTTTTTTCTATATTAAAACGAGTATAAGTCAAACAAGCCGGGTAATGATTTTTTTTAAAAGATTTGATACTTTGTTTGGACTTGCAAGTAATAAAATTTTGATATTTGTTATCCGACTTGCCAACGACAAGTATTTGTTTTTTCAAGGTGAATATGAAGTAAGTAACGAGTATTTATGTCCACCCAGCCGTAGACGATCGGTCAATTGCTTATCTACATATACATTTTTATAGTACATTTTTGCTTTAATTCTTTTGGATCCGGGTTTGACCCGGTTTTAGTCTATTCGGATCTTGGATAAGCAATTTTAGGGATGTTGTCTTAATTTCAAACTGATAAATGAAGTCATGTTGTCTTTAATTCATCTACATATTCTTATACTATTTCCATATTAATCATCTCCGGATACTTAGCATTTACCATTCGCAGAATTCAGTTTGTTATTATTACCTAAACTAATTGCCACATTAATCGTAACTTAATAACTTTATTCTCTAATTGATTTCGAATATATTCACAATCTAAACTAATTAATATCACATATCTTATCTCATCTATTGTTCCTTTAAATTCTACTATACAATCTTTTAAACAATTCAAAGAAAGAGTGGTTGGATTAAAATCCAAACTAAAAAAAAACAAAATCACAAAAATCATTTTAAATCTTTTCATATTAACTTTACATAAAACACTAACATTTCTTTTTAACAGATCAATTAGCAATAATCACGTTGATCTTAATTCATTAATTATTTGCCTAAACAACAAACCGAATTTTATACAACTGTTATAAAAATTTTAGGAAAAATTAATCACTTACTATAAATACATTTTAAAAACGTTTAATGCTCAAATCTTTAGTTAAGATTTTGGAAAGAATAATAATTTGAAAATCAATTTCTACTCAGTTTAGCAAATAATTTATTTTTATTCATTGACATAAATATAGATTACTTAAAATAGATCGTAACAATATTTAATTTGATTTGTTTATTTAATTTCACCCATATAATTCTTAATTTAATTTGTTTATTTTTTCTTGCAGGAAAGTAGAAGTTTATAGCAATCCTCTTTTGATTTGATCTCATTTTTACTACTTAAGCAAGGATCAACAATAGGAATGTTTTAAAAACAAAATATATATGTAATTTGATCACATTTATATAATAATTTTATGAATTTACTTAGAAAAAGTTTAACTTTATTAAACGTTTTAAATATGTATAATATTAAAACTTTTATGAAGCTTCAAATATTATAAATATTTGAATTTTATAAGAATTTATAAAAAGTTTAAATATTATAAATATTTATAAAAGATATTAATACAGGACAGTATACTACGGGTGAAATCCTAAATATAACAATCAAAATACAATTATGAAGTTGGGTCGATATTAAAACTTTTATGAAGTTTCAACTATTATAAATATTTGAACTTTATACGAATTTATAAGAAGTTTAAATATTATAAATATTTATAAAAAATATTAATACGAGACGGTATACTACGGGTGAAATCCTAAATATAACAATCAAAATATAATTATGAAGTTTGGGTTGATATTAAAACTTTTATGAAGTTTCAAGTATTATAAATATTTGAACTTTATAATAAAATGACAAAATGACGTTTAATTTCACGGGACAGAGTTATATGATGAGACGGGTTTTGGTCGATATTAATATGAGATGATATACTACGGGTAAAATCCTAGAATTAACAATCTAAATACAATTATACAATCTTAAACACTAAACAAAACAAGACAAACAATATTAATAAAATAAATACAATTTAAAATTTCTAATTATTAGTTATAAAATATTGTCCCAAGGTGTACTATACAGTAGCATATATTTATAGATCATCTTAAAAAAAATATTCAATTTTTTTATTTAATAAAAATATAGACCCGCGGTGTACCGCGGATTAACATCTAGTTGAGTAATAAAATCTCTGACCCAAAATTTCAAAAACAAAAATAAACGGACCACTTTTTTTTTTTGGTTTACATCAAACCGGACCATTGGTGGAACCTGGTTTAGTGGCTTTAACCGTTGAAATTTCCTTCGTAATCGACTCAAATCATCAGGCAACGGTGACCTCCGCGTCGAAATTCAGCAAAATCCCATCTCCGGTTAGGGCAAAAGCTACTCGATTTGGGACCAAAATTTCACGGAAAATGTCTTTAGGGCAAAAGAGTTCGACGGATCCTGGTGCGATGCTCACTTCTCTTTTGAACAAGCGAGAGAAGCTTCGTCAAGAGTTACGAAGCATCGAGAAACAGGTTAGGGCACAAATGGTCTAGATTCGATTCAATTGTGAAATTCGAACTTAAAATTCGTCGATTTCATTGAGAAATTACTGTTTGGTGTCGCTTAGGTTTATGAATTGGAGACAAGCTATCTTCAAGAATCGAGTCATATAGGAAATGCTTTGAAAGGTTTTGAAGGGTTTTTGTCTTCCTCCAAGAGTACTGCTAGGTCTCTCATTCTCTTCTTCTCTTGATTTTGTAGAAAAACATTTGACTTTGGATTCTATTTGCAGCTTCATACACTTTAGAGAATGTGGTAACTTCTCAGTTTTTAGCTTGTTTGTTGTTTGGAACGAGAATTTGAGTTTGATTTGAAGTTATGAAACCTTTGTTGCAGTGCTAAGAGGTTGAGGAAGTTTCAGCCTGAAGACAGAGTCTTCTCATTGTCTTCAGTTACATCACCTGCTGTATGTTTTCGACAATCTTTATCGTATGCAAAGATGGTTTTTTCTTTCTTTCTGTATTCTTGTGTTGTTTGGTAATAGAAACCCTGCCAAAAGAACAAATGATGCTCTTTATAGTGTGTAGTTTTGGTTGAGGATACAGTTTCTTAAGATATGGTCGATTACTGGATGGCTAACATCTCTAGCAGATTCAAACAAGGGTAAAAGCTGAACCTATGATGTGAAAGAGCTCAAGTTCTGTGAAATGTGTATGTGTCTTGTTTAGTGACTGTCTTTTTATTAGTTTAGTTTACTATCTGCCATAATTAGCGAAAAAGGTGTTTGTTTTCAAGTGGATGCTTACACTTTAGCGCAGTTTTTAGACTTGTTTGTTGATCTTCCCTGATATGTATTCAGGCTGAAGAACTTGGTGTTGGAAGAGAAGGTAAACCGTGCAGCAAACAACTACGCTGAATTCACTTTTGCAAATCGTGGATCAGTTTTTACATACTTTATCTCTGTATAATATAGATGGACGAGCTGAATTAGGGCCAGGGCGATCTAAGGGTGGTTTGTCGACACAGTTAGTTTCCCGACTTAGCTTACTTTACCTCATTTCGTACCTGACCTGTATGTGTCTGATACATGATTTTGGTTTGTTGACCAATGTGATAAAATTACAGGGGAAAGCCAAAGAAAGGGAGAGGACAATCAATAGCAAGAGAGGCAAAGAGAAGCAGACCATCAACAGAACCAGATTATGAAGATGAAGATGATCCGGATATGAATATGTATGGGCATGGTTCACTCATCTAAGGCATTTTCTGTTTTGGTGCCAGAAACTGTAAGAAACAAATCAGATTGTAACCATTTTTTTTTTTTTGCATCCTACAACAGAATTGAACCGATCGAAGTAAATCTAGGAACTAATGTGCCAGCTTTTATATCATCCATTATTATGAATTTGCATTGAGGGTTTAATCAAATATTTTAAGTTATGTCTAGAAAAAGTGAAAAACTATATGATCATATGAGTTTATAGTCCCTTTTTAATTACATGATGTGAGAGTGGAATTAGTTGGCATGTATCATCATGATTCATTATTTGTGATGGAAGCTTAAATTAGAATTTGTTCTTCTGGGTCCAACTTAGTTGTACTTTGCCTTTTGTTCATTCTTTGCATATTACTTTTCTAATATGTAATAAAAAAAAAATTAGCCAAACAAATATAAAAATTTTTGTATTGAAGTGAAATTATCTATGAAATAGAATGTTTATACATTTACAAAAAACAAGAATGATTTTTCTCCCATATGTATTCACATTACATCGGAAAAACAAAATGAAGAAAAAAGTTTGTTAACACTTTTGAAAGTACCCCCATTTTTTAACAAAGAAGAAAGAATGAGAAAACAAAGTTCTTTAGAAAATTTAATCAAGAGAAATCAGAAGAAGAACATGGAACACACTCATGAGTGATCGGTCAATCAAGCACTTCGTTTTAACCTTTCTTGGAATTCAAGAAACGACCTCTCCTTCTCCATCTTCATACTTTCTCTAAACTTGTAGATGAACTCGTCGGCTCTCTCGTTAACCTGCAAATGCGGCGATGCAGCCACCACTCTCCTCCAAGCATCTTCCATCGAATCAGCAATCTCCGGCATCCCTTCTTCTTCTTCTTGTTTCTCCTCTTTTCGCCTAACAACGTTTTCTTTGCTCTCACTCGTCCCCTCGCCACGTGATTGGCTTTGGTATTGATAGATTTGAGAGTAACAATCATCATCGTATCCATATTGACGACGCTTTGGTTTCGTGAGAGATCGAGAGAAAAAATTGAGAAACTGCCGAGAACTTTGGTTCCGGCTGTAGTAGTATTTGTCCGTGTAGCTATTGTTTTGGAGGTACCTTGTTCTAAAAGGAACGATGAGACGGCGAGAAATGAACCTGAGAACACGAGCTGTTGATTCTCTGACCGATGAAGCGATCTCCATGTCTCTGAATTTGGATTTCACCATGTTTGTGAAGTTTTTCCATGCCCTCTTCGCTGGATTTTGCTTCTTCTTTTGCCGCAAAGAAGCCATTCAGAGACTTAACTTTTTTTTTTTTTTTTGAAAAATAGGTTGGCCAAATGTGTATTATTGTCAAGAAATGCTTTATATTTTGCTAGGAGCCTTTCATTTTTCGATTAAAATATTAAAACACCATTGCTTTTGGGTAAAAAGTAGGGAACAAAAAGTGGGTTCTCTTAGCTTACTCTGGATGGCAAAAACTCAGATTCTGGCTTAAAAAAGGGCATATTGTTTTTTCACATCTTCAGGTCTAAAAGCGTTTTTATGAGGAAGTTTAATATTTTCATGCACTCTGAAATAAATTTATATATCTTAAGAATTTATCTTTTACTAAATTTCTTCACAATCTCTTTAAAGATGTATGAATCTGAGTTGTTTTGAAGTTCTGTAAAGAAACATTGAAAATGTTAGTTATGCTCCATGAAGCTAAAGACCATGTGAGATCCGACCAAGAGAAGGCCCATAATTTTTATTGGATAAAGACTAATGAACTTAATTATTGGATTGGGACTTTTGAGCTAATAATAGTATTAATTTAACCAACAACCAATCAATCAATCAATCAATCATAGGGATTTATCTACACATTCCAAAATAAATACTATAATTAACCATAGCTTTATATTCCTCATCGTACCAACCAATTTGTTTTAAAGACATGTCTTCGACATTATCTGCTTAGTTCTTCCTTGCATAGTCAGAAAATTCAGATATGTCCATTAAAACAAGATAATCGCCTTTCATTACAAGAGTCCACATATGCTTGAAAGGCTCTTTCGGCGTTGGTTAGAAATACGCACGATCTGATGTGTTAGAACCAGTGTTTTCACGCGCGACCCGCACCGCCCGGTCTTACCGGTTAACCCAAGACCCGGATATTTTTCCGGTTTGGGTTTAGTGCTAATATCCGCCATTTTAGACTCTATTTAGTCATTTTTAGAAAACTTTTTAAGATTTTAGACTCATTTGTTGTTTTAGATTTTAATGAAACTTCAATGCCGTCTAAGTAATGAATAGAATCGTGAGAAAAATAACCGAGATTAGTTTTTTTTTTTAATTTGCGATGTTTTATTAGTTTATTTCTGTCATTAGCGATCTCATACTATTATAATATTTGTTACGGTTTTAGACTTTTAAGCTAGATTTAAAATTTTAATTTGAATCACTTTATTATTATTGTTAGACTTCATATTTTGTAATATATTAAGAATATTTTTATTTTTATATTTATAAAAACTAAATAATCTCTATAAATATTAAATATATTAAATAAAATTTTAATCAATTGACCCGTGGTCGAACCCGGTTGACCCAGTGACCCGATGACCTAGAAGGTAGTCTGGTTCACTGTCCGGATCGAGTTTAAAAACACTGGTTAGAACTATAGATTTTCTAAAATTCTTTGTCTTTTATTTTCCCAGTTGTAAATAATATTTTTTTAGTTAATAAATATGAAATTTTAACAAAAATAAACTTTAGAAACATCATTTTATGAGACTGAAAACTAATAATAATTCAAAACATCCAAGAGGCAATCTTTCATATTTTTAAAAGAATGTTACGAGAGAAAATGTAAACAAATTTCATTGAAATAAATTTTATATAATGTATAAAACTAAATTTTTAATGGAAAAACTATCAAATCTACCACATTTCCCCCAATTCTTTCCAAATCTACCACATTTTCAACTTCCTTTCCAATTCTATCACATTTGATATGGGAAGTTACTGTTTTGCCCTCCCTTTTCTCTCTTTCTCTTTATGTTTATTTTTTAATTTTTTTTGTTTTCTTTCTTTCTCTCTCACATTATTTTTTTGTTTCTCTCACTCATAGATATACATATATATCTATGAAGTTTTCTTCTTCTTTTTCTTCTCACATGTTTTTTTTCTCCTACAAAATCTAAATCTGGGTTTGAAAATAGTTTATCAATTATATAGTTTTGGTCCACGACGTTAAATCGGCTACACATTTAGATCTAGGTTTATTCTTATATGAACTTGTCCCCGATCTAATTCTATTACTCATTTGATCTGAACTTGTCCTCGATCTAATTCTGGTACTCATTTGATATTACTCATTCAAAATCTAAATCTGGGTTTGAAAATAGTTTAACAATTATATAGTTTTGGTCCACGACGTTAAATCGTTAAAAATATAATTAGATAAATTATGGGTTTGATATTACTTGTCCTCGATCTAATTCTGGTACTCATTCGATATGAACTTGTCCCCGATCTAATTCTATTACTCATTCCATATGAACTTGTCCCCGATATGATTATATTACTCATTCGATCTGAACTTGTCCATGATCTACTTTTATTACTCATTCGATATGAACTTCTCCTTGATCTAATTCTATTACTTATTCGATATGAACTTATCCCCGATCTAATTCTAATACTCATTCGATCTGAACTTGTCCCCGATCTAATTATATTACTTATTCCATATAAACTTGTCCCCGATATAATTATATTACTCATTCGATCTGAACTTGTCCCCGATCTAATTCTATTACTCAGTCCATATGAACTTGTCCCTGATCTACTTCTATTACTTATTCGATATGAATTTGTCCTTTGTCTAATTCTATTACTCATTCGATATGAACTTGTCCCCGATATAATTCTATTACTCATTCGATATGAACTTGTCGTGATCTAGTTCTATTATCCATTCGATCTAAACTTGTCTCCGAGCTTAATTTATTTTTATCTTCATATGTCCCCGAGTATTTGTTGGATCTTGCTGAAGACCTTGAAGGATCTAACCCTACTCTATTAATATATTATTTAATTACAATTATAAGAAATTGTAAACGTACATCATTTATTGCAGCTTGGTCTCTCTTCTCCAGCCAGTGCCAACTTGTCCCTTTATCTGACACAACCTTATGTCACCATCAAGGGCAATTTCGTCCGCTATTTCGCATGTGGCAAAGAAATGTGGTAGATTTGGAAAACTTTTTCAAAATGTGGTAGATTTATAATGCCACATCTCTAAAAGTGGTAGATTTGGAAAGATTCCCATTTTTAATTAGTATAGAATACGCGTAAGAGGCATATTTTTTCGTTTGACGTTTTTGTTTTTGTTTCCGTTTAGGGTTTACCGTACAAGTATATTAGATTACTAGATGGTATGATAAATCCATCTATAGTAAAAGGGAGGAGACTTTTAAAGTTCTATTTTCTCTTTGTCAAACTCAAAACAATCATTCGTAACTTGGAAGAGAATGATTTAACATTAAATGGACGGAACTATTTTGAAAGCTTATGGATATGTGTGTTTACTTGGCTTTTTCAATACATGATTATCTTTTAATTGGAGATATTTTTTAAGTATGTGATTATTTTTTGGGCAATTCTCACAAATAGCACAAAAATAAGTTTTTTCCAAATTATCACATCATTTCCAAAGTTCCAAAAATAAAACAGATTTAATATTAAAAAAATTCTTAACTTTTGGGGCGAATGAAACAAGAAAAAATATTATTTGGAAAGTTTTTATTTTTATTTAATCATTTCTTTTAAACAAAATATATTATAAAATATCTTTATTCATTGTCCATCATATTTAGGAATGTTAAAATCGGTCAACATTCAAGGGTCAATCAAACCAAACCCGATTCAAAAACATGGCCTAAACAAGTTCCTTTTATCGACAATCTATATATATATATTTTTGGAACACTTTTAGCAAATAAATCCTGGAGTTCCACCTTATTTATTATTTATTTTTATAAAATTTTAGTAAAAGATATTAACCAAAGAATATCTTGCCTAATTTGTTTCTAAAAATTTCTACACAATCTTTCCATATATCTTCAAAAAACATTTATAGCAAATATTTATATTAACATTTTGCATAGCAATAAAAATAATAATTTATAATTAT